CGCGAATGAAGATGTAGGGAAAAAGGACACAAACATTACTATATTAAACAAGTTGGTTATCTATGCTATCTTGTTCTATCCAAAATTCATAATTATGTAGATAGAGTGAATCGCAATAATCGTGCCACTACTTATATGAAACGACCATGATAATTAATTATTAATTAACATGCTAACGATAATTTCTAGATTAACATGGTTTGAAATTTTAATGTTGGATTTTTAAGCATAGTTGCATAGGTTATAGAGTAAGTTGTTGAATCTTAGCAGAAATATTTTAATTTTTATCACACAATAATTGATTATATATACATAAGATGTTCTTAACACAAAATTTCAATGAGGAACACCATGGGTCTTAATTATCTATCTATTTATCTCACTATATATTCACATGATTTTGCTTTGATTTTGATATTTCATGATAAGATTTAATGTGTCTCACGATTATTCACTCTCACATCGGAATGATCTCTATCTTTGTCTCTATATATAATTTTTTTAATTTATTTTATTTATTCATATAATATATATAGAACTATTAGTCTAATTATTATTTTTAATTTAAATTAAATAGTTGTTATTCTTAATATAAAAGAAGTAGTTAATTGTAACTATTCTAAAAGTAAGTAGTTTTTAAAATATTAAAGAAACTGGGGGAGGGTGATCATATGACCATTAATAAATTTGTAAATTAACTATTATTTGAATCTCAGTCATATTTTAAAATTTAAAGATGTTACATCTTGTTACGTTTTCCCAATAATGTAATGAAAAGAATCAAAAGATGTTCCTCTTTTCATCTATTGCTTTGGTGGCAATATTATATTAATGGGAAAAGGTGGAATAAAATAAAATGAGGCCCATAATAAAATGAAATGGATTGAAAACAAGAAACTGCCTCAGTTTCTTTATATCTATAATAATTTAAGATTATAATAAGTTGATTAACAAAAATATTTTTCTGACGTCGTAATTTCTTAATATTCTCTTTATTTCTCTTATTTATTACTTTGACATTTCAAACATTATTCTTTCTTTCTCTTTTTCCACAAGGTTATAAATGAAAGAACAGTAATAAATGTCATCTTAAAACTTTAAAAAGGAAAATAAATAGAAACAATATTTTCTTCAAAAGTGATTGGAGACAGTAATCAATATCTTTTCTTTATACAACTCAATTCAATATTTTATACGTTGTTCCAATGTTTCTTTCAAGTGAGTATAACATGAAAGAAAGTTTTTAAAACATAAGAAAACAAAAGAATGGATCGGCAAAAAAAATATATATATATATAAATCATGAAGACATGAGCTATAAGTTATTTCATTATGCATTACCGATTGCAAACTATGCACCACTTTTGCTAACCCATGGTTTGATGACAGCAACAACGATGATTATAATAACGATGAGAAGTATCATGATTGCAATGCACATCCATTTTCTAGAGTTCTTTTGTAGTTTCTTGGCCTTCTGGAGAGCATTGTTGCCTTGCTGCACGTGATCTACTGCACTTGTAACCTGATGCATCATGACCCCAAACCAACTTTAGGCACAAACATAACTTTCAACCAATCAATTTTTCATAGGGATTCACATATGTATGCAGAAATGACTAGAGTTGGTCTAATAGTGAGAGATTAAAATAGTATTTCCATAATTATAAGTGAATTTTATTATCATTCTTATGGATAAAAAAAAATATGTATGTAGAGACATTTAGAAATGAGATTTGCTAATTTTGGCATTCATATCTTGACTACATGGATGATGGAGATTAACTATTTTCTTTTCTCATGATCTCACCATGAAAAGGAATTGATTTACACTGTTATAAATTAGAGTTTAATTTCTATAGATTATCAATGTAGAAATAAAAAGTTACAGTTATTATAATTTTTAAGATAATTATTGTAAAATTTAATAAATTTATTAAAAAAAATTATGTATTGACAGTATAAAACAATTTTACATAATTATCCAAACACTAAGCACTATGTATGATGAATTTGTTAACTTATAATAATTATCTTAAAAATAATGTTAACTATGTTAATTGACAACAGTGTAATCATTAAATCTTAAATTTATTACACATGACAATTTATAATCAAATGACGGAATAAAGCTTCTTAACACTATCAACATATAACTATTTACTCTAAATTATACTCACTCCAACATCATCAACCATTTTGTATGAAATTAAATTTTCATCGGTCCAACTGTTCAGTTATAATTATATTACCTACATTATTCATATCAAATTTTGTAAAAATTAAACAATAATATGAAGATAATTAACTAGCTGTTATTTTCATGTATTTCAAAAGTATATATTACTTTAACCTTGATGTACATCAACAAGGTAAGAGTGAGTGTCGGATCGATAGAAACTGATCCTTATATATAGTGTCTTAAATGCAAAGAGATCAAAATACCTGTGATTCAATGTTGTCAAGCATATCACCTTGTGCATCCACTAACACCGCAATATCAAGAAATATCTGCCAAGACATGAAGCAATTAAGGCCCAAACTAAGATATCTATCTCTACTACCTTCACATATATCTTCCAGCTGTGTGTATTATATGCATATTTGTAGCAGCATAACATCTAAAGCACACTTTTGAGTATAAATTACACTCTTTACTTATGAGACCTTGCAAAAGCAATTTTTAGCTTCCCACAGGTGTAGTGCTGTGATATATTTTATGGTTCCTATCTCCCGTATATGGATCAGTTGTGCAAAATACGCGTAAATTTATCAAAAAAAGATGACCAAGAGTGTGTGAACCGGGAAGATGAAGAGGTAATATAACTATCCTAAACTGTAATATAACTATACTAAACAGTAAAACTTTAACTGGAAATTCCTTCAGAAGTGAAGTGATGCCATCAGTTTTATAGTGTGATATGACTAAATCGATCATCATATGAATAAAGCAGAAAATATTTTCCTGTTAAAAATAATCTCAATTCATTACCATACCCCACCCTTTTGTTCTAGTGATGTGGTGGTTCTATAGCATAGGCCTTTACTATATAATACATAAACTTGTACTTATCAGGATCGAATGTAAAAGTAAAACGAAAAAGGTAAAGCTGCACAAGTAATTATTTTATGCACTATTTTATTCATGTCTATCATAAAATAATAAGAATATTAAATGTGGTAATTTGTGGAGCTACATTATCACAGTCAAATTAATTGAACAAACTGATTAAATACCTGTTGTAATTCAAGAAGCTTTCTCTCAACATCTCTAACTGCTTCATGTCGCTCTTGAATTTCTGCCAAGGTGTCCATTATCTACAATGATAACTCAAATGTATTAGGAGTGTACTGTGACAAGGTAAATTTCCTAATATCATGTAATTTTCCTAGTTCTTAAGGAAGATAAATGTTCCTCACCCTCCCTGGCCCCAAAAACACATTATGTAGGAAAATAATGAAAATGTAGGAATGGAGGGTTTAGATAAGTGGATGATATTCATGATGTTGGATAACGTAAAAAGTTGAATAGGCATTTGAGGAAGAATTGAACGAGAAAGTGAGAGGGAGATATGAACCTGGCCTCGTCCTTGTTCCTGAATTGCCTTCTGGAAAATTTGTTCACTATCTCCAGTTTCAATTAATCTGTCAATTGTCTGTACATTGTTAACAGATTAGAAGAAAAACTCCTATAAGACATATTTCCATCCATTAATGAAAATTGAGAAAAGAAAAAATACCTCCTCATCAGCTCTTGCACCCGTAACTGAAAATCATGAGAACCAGAGCATAAAACAAATTAACTCCATTTCAATGAAATTTAATGGTATAAAACTGCATAAAATTGAAGAGAAAAAAAACAGTAATGAGTAAACCACTCTAACCTGTAAAAACACGTCTCTCAACAACCTCGCGATACTCTTGATGGATGGTCTCTCTCAGAGTCTGCAAAGATTTTCAAAAATGGATTCAGTTGAATTGAAGGACAGGAGAATAAAGAAATCTAAAAAATGAGACAAACCCACCTGAAATTCGGCCATTTTATCTTTTAGTTTCTTTTTTAAAGAACTGCAAAATAATATAATACAAAGTTACAGATGAGATGGGTCCAATAAAACATTAAGCCAAATATCCTAGATGGAAAATCCTCAGGTATACTCATTATGATTCAGCATAGTTTACACGTTGATATAAGTTGAAAACCATGAAATATGTGGAAAAATTATCATGTAGTCACTAATTATATGTAAGATAAGCTAGACCCCACGGCAACATATTAACATAACTTTTATTTTAATAATATTTAAGGATTATGGATTAGAAGCTCTGGTACAAAAGTCTCCTATTACAAAAGTAATATAAAGATGTTACATTAACTTTCTGCATTTAGATTGAGATGACAGTGTCTTTCTTTACTCTTGGTTATCCCTTTTTAAGCATTCCTTAGTTTCCAGATATATATAATCATATTAAAAAAGATACATTCATATTATTGATTGAATGAATATCATCCGAGATGCCGAGGAAAGAGAATATTATTTACTCCAAAAGGACTATGCTCTTAGTTTCCTTAGAAGATGAATGTTGATGTCAAAGACTCTTATGTCTTATGGACTTGTATTTATCAAGTAAAACTTTCAGTATCTAAATGGTTATATATTTTTGCTGCAAGAGAATTTGAGAAACGAATAGTTGAAAATTTATGAAAGCGAAGAGATAATTATATATACTACAACGAGAAACTCGATTTATAAAGCTTGTCTAAGTTATGAGACAATAATAACAAAATAAAAAGCTGGCTCAATACTGACATAGTTGTTGCTGTTCTTGACCGGTCAACACCTGATCCTTTTCCACATCCAGGCTTCTGCCTGTTTGCCAAATTCTACAACACAGAATGGAATGAGTAGATTTACATCAAGAATCTATGGACTGAATAAAACACTGAAAGGCATTCAGTAGAGACACCTCTTTGTCCAGTTCTTCAATTTTGGTCTTTAAGTAATGACCAGTTTTCTTAACTTCATCAACATCTTTCTCCATTTTCTCCTTTATAGCTGCAGACATCATAGGATCAGGCTGAATTAATTAGTTTAACACCCTTGAACTTTATTAGCATCCCCAGAACAACTACCTTCAAATCCGTCCCTTTATCCAAAGAGCAATTTAAAATCTATAAATAGCCCTACTTCAGCAAATTCTTCATCATATCACTATAATTCTAAACTACAAATAATACTTGCTTACAATAGAAATATTTCTCTAAAGGTTCAGTGAGTAACAAAAGTAGTAATAATTTCCACACGTGTGAGAGTCACTATAATAATTTTAAATATATATATATACACACACACACGAAAGGAGGGTTGCAAGACTCAATAATTTTACTCTTACTATTTTACTTAAATTAAAAAATTAAAATAAAAAGGGCAATGGAACATGCATAAAATTGTTCAATAAAACGATAAGATTATACTAACCCTTCATGGCAGGAGCCTTGGTCACAGCTCTGGATTCTTCATGGGCATCCTGCATACAAGGTTTGCATAAAAATGGTGACGACAAGTTACAAGTAATTTTTAGTTCATAGTATAAATCCACAAGGAAGTGCAAAGGCTTTTAATAATTTGACGGAACATGTAATATTTACCTAAGGCAGACTCTTACCGAATTCCAAAACAGAGCAAAAATAAAGTCTTTATTTTTTCCTGTTTCATTTTTCTTAATTCACTTGATATGGAAGCTGACTAAAATTCAACACAACTACCGTATAACAAATCACTACACAAACACAAACTACAAAATGACAGGCAGCATTAGTCACTCTAGTTTTACCTATTTTTACCCTTCATAAAATGATTTTCCTGACCCTGTCATCTAATCTCTCCTTTTGTCCCTTCTCTAAACTCTCCAATTTATGCAAGTTTTTCTGTCAACCAATCAAACTAGGGATGCCTTGTGGAGGGCATGGTAGAAGAAATGAGTTCAAGTTGTTTATATTCACACCATCAACAAAATGTACAATGGGTTTAAAACTAGTGCACGAACACACAATGGAGTCATAGAGGATTTCCCTTTAAGAAAGTATTGCAATTAGCAACAAAGGTCAACTGTGAGCCCTTGTCTCTCTACCTTGATTTTGGACATAATTACTAACCATATCCAGGAGCTAGTGCCTAAATGCATGCTTTTTGTAGATGATCTGGTCATAAAAGAAGAATCAAGAGAGGAAATAAATGGTATACTAGAGTTGTGGAGAGGAGATTTCAAATCATATATATGTAATTGCAGAGTATATGGAATGTTAGCTCATAAAGATGCAAGAAGGAACGTGTATCTGGATGAAGAAGATGCCAGGTGCAGGTGCATATGATGGTGGATGTAATTATAGGATATCAGAGCCAGAATTTTTAAAACAATAGGAACAGAAAAGACAATCGCTAAAAATTTGAGGGTGAGACGAAGTATATAAAACAAGAGTTCCAAATTATAGGAACTTGGCAGCAAAACAGTGACAAGATAGATCATAGAAGATGCGTACTACTCATACCATGTTGAAATTGAAGAGTTAAGGTAAAGGAGAAAAGCAAAGAATAGAGACTCAGTAATATTATGTTGCGTATAATTGGTAGTCAAGTTTGTAAAGACAGGTTACCTGGAGCTTTCTCAAAAGCTTATCCAGCTTAGCATATTGTTTATCAAGCTCTTGAACCTATTAAAAAAGCCACAAGATCATTCAATGAGATGAGCAACATGATTGAACACGAATGTTAAGGCTCCCTTAAGACTGATTAATGCTTTCATACAAATATATACAGATAAACACCTTTTTGAAGAAACTATCCAAGCCCAGGTCTCCTGAATTCCTTGCATATTCTCCTAACTCAAGGTCCCCACCTCCGTGACCTTGGCCACGTGGGATGTCAAATGATTCCTGAGAAAGAAAAATAGATATCAAATTAATATACATTGTTCAACCCTAACACTGGTGTTGCTATCTGCACATCCTAGGTAAACTAGTCACCAAAGTTATTGCTATCCTAGCAATCAGTAATAGACAAAATAGCATAATATTCTACATACCACAACAAAAGCACATACTGATCTTAGATGCGTTAAAATTCTAAGCGTGACAAACAGAACAAGTAATCTACTTTAAAATTTTGATATGGCCTCCCTACAAGACGTTTTAGCTATTAAGTACTACACTACTATTAAGATCTATATATTATAGGGACAGGTAATTCAATTTCAAAATTCTCCTAAGTGTACAGGTATTCTGCTTTTATCCCCCAGTAACAGTCAATGGAACGAGTGAATTTATTGCACAAATCAAAGTTAAAGGTCTAACTGCATTCAATACATTTTGTGAATAAATAATTGCATATACAGCTTCTGGAAACATCCCATTAACTTCTGTAGATATCAAGATAGGAATTTCCTAAGCATTTGCTTCCCTTAGCTTTGGCATGAAACATCAGGGGATAACAACTAACAACTTGGTTAAGTGGTACTTCTAGTTACAACCCCATGCCTAAGACAGAGATTGATCTCCCAACTCTTGGTTAAGGAATACAAGTACTTAATTACTTATGCTAACAAGTAACAACTTTTAGTAATATTGTTGGATTATTAAATGATATTCATTACGGATAATGTAGCTTTTGTGAGCAGCATGTCAATCTTTTTTAAGTAGTATATCTATGGACTATGGGTGTGTGCCTCAGTAATCAACAGCACTTCAACTTATATAATAGCTAAAAGAAAGTGAAGTATACTGTCAGCTCATAGTATATTAGAATGACGAAAATCAATAATATTTTATACACATCATGGAGTATCTAAGAAGTTAAATGTTATATAATAATCTGGATTCTGGAAGGAATAATTTAAAAAATAAAAATCGCAATAACATATTCAAGATAAATAAATAAAATATGGGGATTGGAAAAGCATGAAATGTTTCACCAGAGGTGCTGATTTCGGATTTTACAAGTTTAGTTTTAATTTGACCACAACCCAGTTACCAAAAAGAACATCCACTATTAACCCATTTTCGGGATATGATTGATCACTAAGCTTTTTCATTGGCAACAAGAGGCTACTGAAGAATATATTAAATGATGCATCCATTATTAATTTATTCATTCATTTATTTTGAATAATTCCAAGATAGTTGACCAAGGAAAATTAAAACCAAGTAGATGCTTAAATCAAGATTAGTTTAATTGTCACTATCAATGGCAACCTCTTTTATTACTATAAATTTTTCCCTTTTTTTAAAAAATCGCAACACAGACGAATACAAATCTTGAAACCTGAAGAAAATCAAAACCAGTTCCTAGTCAAAATCTGAAAACCGCTTAAATTTTAGTTTTTTTTTTTTTTTTTTAATATGTTATTAATACGAAATATCTACCTTTTATTGATAACTATTTTTTGTTGGGAAATTGACCAGCTACCTTTTAGCAAAGTCTCTCTTCCCTATAACCTTTTTTCCATTTACAAGACTTGAATCCAAAACCTTAGGTTGGAGATGAAGTACAATACCACTGGAAGTAATAATTTGTCAAAGGTAATTAAGTTACATTTCCATGAAATACCCACCAAAACCATTCATCAGTTATGCACAATTGCATTTCAGCATAACTCAAACAATGCAGAAGATTAAAACTCCAAATTTTCAAATGTCGCATAACCCACATTCCCCAAACCCCATAACTTTCTTTCATTTTCCCACCAAACAAACACAAAATGTCAAAACAAGGACGAAATTGAAATCTAGAGTGCCCATCATGCACAATGCTAGATCTGACAAAACCCACATCCAAAAACACCCCAAATGCATGAAAACAAAGAAAGAAAAACCAAATATACACGTTGAATCAACAATGCTGAAATAAAAAAATAAAAAAATAAAAAATAATAAAAAGTGAAGAAACGAAAGTTACCGTTAGAAGATCGTTCATTTTGGAAGAAAGATGAGAAATTGAAAGGGAAACAAGGAATGTGAGGAAAAGGGGATTTAAGAGCTGAGAGGGACCTGGTTAACAAGAAACCAGGCCATAGAGTTTCAATCCCCACGGAGAGAAACAAAAAGAAAGACGAGTTTTTCAAAAACTTTTTGTTTTCAAAATTTTCCTTATTTTTATTTTTATTTATTTCTCTTTCTTTATTTGGTTGTGTTGTTGTTCTCTGTTACCAGAATGGAAAGTTTTTGTTTTTCGGGAAATGGAACCACCGACCTAGACAGGTACGCAACAGCTTTTTTCAGGCTAATTTATAAATTAAACAAAATTTGTATATGTGACAATCTAGTGACTTTTTTTTTTAATATATCAATTTTTTTTTTATTTTTCTGAATAACCCCACCCCATTTTATTTATCAAAATAATCCATTTAGTATTTAAGGTGAGAAATCGGTTGGGGGAACCGTTTTTCAACCTTCCGTTTTTTTAAATTGGGTTGTTTTGAAGGGAGAAATCGGTTAATCGAAAACCGATTTCTCAACTGCCATATTTTGTTTTTTTATTTTTTTCGTTTTTTGTTTTTTTTTTTTGTGTTTTTGTTTGTTTTTTTTTTCATTTTTCATTTTTTTTTTGTTTTTGTATTTTGTTTTTTTTTGTTTTTCATTTTTGTTTGTTTTTTTTTTATTTTTTGTTTTTTTTTGTTTTTGTATTTTGTTTTTTATTTCATTTTTGTTTTTTTTGTTTTTTTTTTCATTTTTGGTTCATGTTTTTTGGTTTTTTTTAATTAAACTACTATGTGAAAATTGTAAATATGATGTGATAATATGATAATGTGATATGGTGGTGTGATATGGTGATGTGATGTGATGATGTGATATGATGATGTGATATGATGATGATATGATAATGAGATATATTTTAACAATAAATATTTATGAAAATTATTTTGTAATATTTTGATTTTTAGTAGTCCAGACTAGGCCATTCTTAAACTGGAACGGGTCGTTCCAGACTACTAAAATGGCCTATTAAAACTAGAGTGGAACGGGCCGTTCCAACACATGATTTTATGAGCAATACGCGAACCCAGAACGGGCCGTTCCATTTTTGGAACGGGCCGTTCCAGACATGGCTATTGTAGCTTAAAATGTGATCCCAGAACGGGCCGTTCTGGATATGAAATCTACGTTTGACGAAAGGGTCCAAAATGGGCCGTTCTGGATTTGAAACAGGTCGTTTTGGCCACATCTGATGCCAATAAATAGCACACTCTAGCACTCCAAAAGAACATTTTTTTCACTTCTAATCTCTTTTTCCTCTAAACTCTCTGAAGACCAAGGGGAACTCAGAGGAGGAGACTAGCAAGATTCTACTTTAGTTTCAGCTCCTATTTATCGAGGTAAGGGGGAGTGAGAAACCTTGCTCTGGGTGTGGGAATGTATGTTGGGTAGTAGGATTGGCTTCCAATCCTGTGTTTGTTGTATGCTCATGTATGAGGGGTTTTCCCCAATTATATCTGTTTCACCTATTGTTCCTCTTGTATGTAATTAATTGTATGATTTGAGATTTTTGTGGGTTCCTACGGGAGACCCTATGAGAAATAGATAAAATTTGAATGGTCTCTAAATATAAATGTATAATTTTAATATATCTATGGGTTCTTATGGGAAAACCTAAGGGAATGCATTTGTAATTGTAAGAGGAAATTATATGAGTAAGCTGATGTTTATTGTATGAATTGGAGTGCTCTATGGGTTCCTGTGGAACCCTATGAAAAACAGGAAAATTTTAAATGTTTTCTATTTTATCCCCTGAGTTTTTTGTTGTGTTCTTTGATGTTTGCGGAGTGTAAATATGTGTTTCATTTCGCAAATAGATGAGTTTTGATATGAATTAAACTACTATGTGAAAATTGTAAATATGATGTGATAATATGATAATGTGATATGGTGGTGTGATATGGTGATGTGATGTGATGATGTGATATGATGATGTGATATGATGATGATATGATAATGAGATATGATAATGTGATATGGTGATGTGATATGATGATGTGTTATGATGATGAGACATGATAATATGATATGGGAATGAGACATGAAAATGTGAGATGAGAAAAGCATGGAGTCTTGATTGACATGCATCATGTGCATAAATATTTTTAAGGGTACGATATGGAATATACCGCCAGAGAAGGCCCCCTAGTGTAAAAGCTTTGGGTATTAGTCCTTGGGGATAGCTCGATTTGTAAGTCCCAGTCTCGCCATTGTGTGCATGAGATGTATCTTGTGTGGCTTAGCTATCCCGACGAGACTCTGGTAGCCATTTTTTTTTTGATTTTTTTTTTCTTGAACATGAGGATACTTTGCAAAGTCCAATCATGTTATTTTTTTTTAATCTTTGAGAAATGAATAAATTTTTATTTTTATTTATATAAATATTTATCTTTTGAATTTTTATCTCTCCAAAATTTGAAATCACTATTTTAGATCTTAACATTCAATTTAACCTAGATAAATTACATTCATTTTAGAAATTTAGAAGTATCATATGTTGATATGATACTAGAAATATAAATAGGAATCTCCATAAATTGTCACTTAATTTTTAAGTTAAATACACACAATATATTAATGAGTTACACATAAACATAGGGGTCAAAAATAAAGATTTAATATTTTTTATGGATGAAAACTAAAGAAAAATATTTACAAGATCATACCAAAATCTTCTTAAAAGACTTTAAAATATATTTAAATTTTAATTTTTACTCTTTTTTCAATATGAAATAATTTTTATAGATTTTTTATTTTTCTTATCATCAATTTTTTGTGTTGTCTATTTCGAATTTCATTTGAATCTGATTATTATTTTATATATAAAAAAACATTAATTCGTGGGTCCTACAAATAAATGTGAAATGCTTAATTTCTTCATCTATGGTCTACCATAGGCCATAATTTTCCTTTCAAAAAAGTCTTGGTCGAAATTTCACCATTTTCTTTTTAAAAGTCTTGGTCCACATTCAAGTACCAAATTTCAACAATCATCAAATATTCATACACACACATTCAATATTCATATGATAACCTAAATAATCAACAAAGAAATATGATTTATTCTTGTGCCAAATACTAAAATAAGAAACATTTTATTTTAATTTACCATATAGAACTTTTTTATTATTAAATAAAATATTTCAACGATGATAATAATGTTAAGTGAATCCGAGTTTTTTACTCAAATAATATATTTAATTTTTTTTTACTAAAATAACAACTTTGCAAATTTATTTTCCCAACTAGCACCATTTACTGTTTACATATCTTTTATTTTTATTTTTTCGTTTTAGGTCCAGATTATCTGGAAATTTTGCATCTAGAACGACCCGTTCTGCAACCAGAACGCCCCATTCTACATGCATTCTCGTTGTGTTTTTTTTTTTTGCATCTGGAACGACCCGTTCTTAAACCAAAACGGGCTGTTCTAGAGTTGAGTTTTTTCACATAACCTCAATGTTGGAACGACCCATTCTAAACTAGGGATTTTAGCCCTTTTTAGTAGTTTGGAACGGGCCGTTCTGCTTTTGGAATAGTATAACATCCCGAATTTTCTATTAGTATAATAGTTAATTATTGTTTATTTTTATATTTATGGAGTTTATTTTCTTATAGATATTTTAATGGGTTTTATAGAATGTTTTAAAGGTTTTTAATAATTATGACTATTTTAACAATAAATATTTATGAAAATTATTTTGTAATATTTTGATTTTTAGTAGTCCAGACTAGGCCATTCTTAAACTGGAACGGGTCGTTCCAGACTACTAAAATGGCCTATTAAAACTAGAGTGGAACGGGCCGTTCCAACACATGATTTTATGAGCAATACGCGAACCCAGAACGGGCCGTTCCATTTTTGGAACGGGCCGTTCCAGACATGGCTATTGTAGCTTAAAATGTGATCCCAGAACGGGCCGTTCTGGATATGAAATCTACGTTTGACGAAAGGGTCCAAAATGGGCCGTTCTGGATTTGAAACAGGTCGTTTTGGCCACATCTGATGCCAATAAATAGCACACTCTAGCACTCCAAAAGAACATTTTTTTCACTTCTAATCTCTTTTTCCTCTAAACTCTCTGAAGACCAAGGGGAACTCAGAGGAGGAGACTAGCAAGATTCTACTTTAGTTTCAGCTCCTATTTATCGAGGTAAGGGGGAGTGAGAAACCTTGCTCTGGGTGTGGGAATGTATGTTGGGTAGTAGGATTGGCTTCCAATCCTGTGTTTGTTGTATGCTCATGTATGAGGGGTTTTCCCCAATTATATCTGTTTCACCTATTGTTCCTCTTGTATGTAATTAATTGTATGATTTGAGATTTTTGTGGGTTCCTACGGGAGACCCTATGAGAAATAGATAAAATTTGAATGGTCTCTAAATATAAATGTATAATTTTAATATATCTATGGGTTCTTATGGGAAAACCTAAGGGAATGCATTTGTAATTGTAAGAGGAAATTATATGAGTAAGCTGATGTTTATTGTATGAATTGGAGTGCTCTATGGGTTCCTGTGGAACCCTATGAAAAACAGGAAAATTTTAAATGTTTTCTATTTTATCCCCTGAGTTTTTTGTTGTGTTCTTTGATGTTTGCGGAGTGTAAATATGTGTTTCATTTCGCAAATAGATGAGTTTTGATATGAATTAAACTACTATGTGAAAATTGTAAATATGATGTGATAATATGATAATGTGATATGGTGGTGTGATATGGTGATGTGATGTGATGATGTGATATGATGATGTGATATGATGATGATATGATAATGAGATATGATAATGTGATATGGTGATGTGATATGATGATGTGTTATGATGATGAGACATGATAATATGATATGGGAATGAGACATGAAAATGTGAGATGAGAAAAGCATGGAGTCTTGATTGACATGCATCATGTGCATAAATATTTTTAAGGGTACGATATGGAATATACCGCCAGAGAAGGCCCCCTAGTGTAAAAGCTTTGGGTATTAGTCCTTGGGGATAGCTCGATTTGTAAGTCCCAGTCTCGCCATTGTGTGCATGAGATGTATCTTGTGTGGCTTAGCTATCCCGACGAGACTCTGGTAGTATGTCCTTCTAGTGAGAGTGCGTAGAGGGTGTGATCCCGCATGTACTCCTAGAGTACTCTTCGTGTATTGCTAGCGGCAATATGCCATGTAAAAATAACTGAATATTTAAAATTAATATACGAAAAAAAAATTAGATATCTTAATAAATAAAATATAAAAAAACAAACAAAAACTAAAAACGAAAATAAAAAACAAAATACAAAAACCAAAAAAAGAAAAACAAAAACGAAAAAAAAAACAAAAAAAAAACAAAAAACGAAAAGAAAAAAAAGGCAGTTGAGAAATCGGTTTTCGATTAACCGATTTCTCACTGCACATCAACACATTTTAACAAAACTGAAGGTGAGAAATCGGTTCTCCCAACCGACTTCTCACCTTAAATACTAAATGGGTCATTTTGATAAATAAAATGGGGGTGGGGTTATTCAGAAAAAAAAAAAAATTGGTATATTAAAAAAAAAAAGTCCAATCTAGTATTAATTATAGTTTTATCATTTGTAAAAGATTCTCTAAATTATCTAATATCTCATTTATTAAAATAAATTTATCTAAACCTATAAGATCTAGTACAGTTAATAAATGCTCTCAAAACAAAACAAAAAAAAAACAAATACAGTTAATAAATAAATTAAGTTAATTTCTCTTCTCCAGTACAGTTAGCTTCTTTTATCTTACTCATTTTTATTAGTTATAATTTATTAAAAATTATAAAATTAGAAAAAAAATTGTTAAATAAAATAAAAAAATATCAAATTTTATGTTTTTTTTAATAAATATTAATCAATTAGAAATGACGTATTTAAAAAAGTATATTAGAAAGTATATTATTAATATTTCTTTAATTAGTGTCGTGTGCATTATTAAAATGATTTTATTGGAAGATAAAGTTCATTTTGATTATTTTTACACATCAAAATAAGTTATTTTCTAGTTATTGTTTATGTAAATAAAATATAAATAAAACTATATGTGATATAATTTTTTAAATAATAAATTATTTTTAATTTATTTTTAGCTGTCAAAAAATAATTTATTTTTAAAAGACTAAAATATATTTTTTGTTTACAAAAACCAAAAAAATTATTTTTAACCCAAAAATTTAATTACTAATTTTGAATGGTTTTATTTTATCACATAAATTATTATTTTGTTATCATTTGTCATGTTGTTACATGTTAAAATTATAAATAAAAAAAACAAATATATAACAATAACTATTTACTATAGGACGTGCAGTTTCAGAATAAACATGCATGCTGCATGCAGGATATACGTGTATCATTGCATTTAATGGTTAAAAAGGTATTTTTCACATAAATTTCTTATTAATGAAAATTGAAATAGTATATATATATATATATATATATAT